GGTGTTTTTTTAGCAAACTCCATGTGGGCTTTCATGTGTCTTGCACTGAGGAGAGGCTTCCGTCGGGGCACTCTGCCCTAAAGCCCCGACTGGTGGAGGGCTGCAGTGATGGTTGACTTTCTACAACTTTCTCCCATCTCCCGACTGCATCTCTGGAGCTCAGCCACAGTCATCTTTGGGTTCTTCTGTACTTCTCTCACCAAGGCTCTTCTCCCCCGATAGCTCAGTTTGGCCGGACGGCCAGCTCTAGGAAGGGTTCTGGTCGTCCCCAACGTCTTCCATTTAAGGATTATGGAGGCCACTGTGCTCTTAGGAACCTTAAGTGCAGCAGAATTTTTTTTTGTAACCTTGGCCAGATCTGTGCCTTGCCACAATTCTGTCTGTGAGCTCTTCAGGCAGTTCCTTTGACCTCATGATTCTCATTTGCTCTGACATGCAGTGTGAGCTGTAGGGTCTTATATAGACAGGTGTGTGGCTTTTCTAATCACGTCCAATCAGTATAATCAAACACAGCTGGACTCAAATGAAGGTGTAGAACCATCTCAGGGATGATCAGAAGAAATGGACAGCACCTAAGTTAAATATATGAGTGTCACAGCAAAGGGTCTGAATACTTATGACCATGTGATATTTCAGTTTTTCTTTCTTAATAAATCTGCAAAAATGTCAAACATTCTGTGTTTTTCTGTCAATATGGGGTGCTGTGTGTACATTAATGAGGGAAAAAATGAACTTAAATGATTTTAGCATATGGCTGCAATATAACAAAGTGAAAAATTTAAGGGGGTCTGAATACTTTCTGTACCCACTGTATATTTTTGTTTCAGCATGGTAGGATTTATTAGGACATGGTGGCTAACCCAAAGTGTTGGGTGTATTTATGTTTGTATGTATATAAATAGCTGATGCAGAGGGTATGTGTGTGCAAGTGCTGAGTAGCAGCATTTTGTTTCCTGCGCAAGGAAATGCCAGATGGCCTCTTCGCCCTGGCAACATCAGTCAGTTACCAGCTACTACCAAACCAGCTGGACTCTGCATTAACACTCCATGGGGGTGGGGGGGGGGTAAGTGTGCGTTTATGTTCAAGGCTTTGATTTTAGCAGGTTTATTCTCTACAGTAGCATTACACTGTATCTGACAATCATTTCAAAATTGTGTCAAGCACTGTGTATATGAGACAGAGAAATTTTGGTCCCTAAATGTGTCAAATTGTAAGAATGTGTTCATATCCCTAAAAATAACAAGTGCAATGAATGTTGAGATGTGATGTCAGAGAGCTGAAAAGTTCTCCTCAGTCAGTTAGCAGTGAGCAGCATCTAAGCGCTTCTCATATGATGGAAGTGTATGATCATAAGGTCTGTCCTAAAGCACATGCTGCCACTTAAAAATATGCCTCGATTCGATTTCGATTCAGCGGCCTGCGATAAATATAGAGCAATGTTGTCCGCCTATTTCATGCAATTTATATTTTTGGAAAGGCCTGGTATTGCCTGATTTAGTGCTTGAGGGAGTGAAGACATTTTCATTTCTGTCGTGAGTCAGCAGACGCACAGGAAAAACAGTTTGCTGGAAGTGAAGAAACACAGCAGCCACAGTTTATGATCACTGTGTATTTATGAAAAACCCTGTCAGCTGAACATCTGTAAAATTTAAGACCCTTTTTATTATAGACTAAATAAACAAAGTTGTAAATGTAGCCCTTTCCCTGTTTTCTGCTTTCTCCTGTCCTCTAGTGGGTATTCCGACAATAAAGTGGTGTGGCGCAGAGGGCGACTACAATGTGATGGTGATGGAGCTGCTGGGGCCCAGCCTGGAGGATCTGTTTAACTTCTGCTCTCGGAAGTTCAGCCTCAAGACGGTGCTGCTGCTGGCTGACCAGATGGTGAGCAACTGACAGGAAGAGAAAAGGGGAAGGTGGAGGGTTGGTTCACACAGGAAGCTGCTAGCCATAGGGTCTGTTAGTTCCTAATTTGATTTGTGGTTTGTTTGTTTGTTTTATTATGGTTGTTTTGCTGTATTTTAACCTCAGGGTGCTATTGTTATTGTTAGAATAGTGTCCTACAAATGTTAGTGTGTTTGTCTTTAGATCTGGCTATAAGGCTCCTACCAGCAGCTGGTTAGCTAAGATTAGCATAAAAAGCCTCTGTCTAGAGGTAACAAAATCTGTCTGATAGCACCATTTCTTGTTTAATCTGTACAAAAACTGAAGTTGAACTCTGACATGTACTTTTAGTTCTGTTTTTTTTTTTAACTACAGCTTTCTGGGACTTGCATCTGTCTCTCTTCCACCATGTTTGCCTGTTAAAGCCGACATCAAGTTCTCTTTTGCTCTTTCCATCTAGATCAGCCGTATTGAATACATCCACTCCAAGAATTTCATCCACAGAGATGTGAAGCCAGACAACTTTCTGATGGGGCTGGGTAAGAAGGGCAACTTGGTCTACATCATCGACTTCGGCCTGGCCAAGAAGTACCGCGATGCCCGCACACACCAGCACATCCCCTATCGTGAGAACAAAAACCTGACCGGCACAGCCCGCTATGCCTCCATAAACACACATCTAGGCATTGGTAAGAGTATAAAAAAATCACTGACTTATGCCATGAAAGAATAAATCATACCCTTCTGAGCTGCTGATCTCCTCCCTCTCTGCCTACAGAACAGTCCAGACGGGACGATCTGGAGTCGCTGGGATATGTTCTCATGTACTTCAACCTGGGTTCTCTGCCCTGGCAAGGCCTCAAAGCCGCTACCAAGAGGCAGAAGTACGAACGCATAAGTGAGAAGAAAATGTCCACGCCCATTGAGGTCCTCTGCAAAGGCTATCCATGTATGTTTGACTCTTGCCTCTCATCTTTTATGAATTATGTGTAGGATTCCTTATATTAACATTGATCCAAACCATAAATATTCTTGTGCTAAAGCCCCTGCTCAAAGTTCTTCAGTGCTTAATTTTTTGGAGGCGTGAGGAGTAATATCTGTCTGTGAAAATTCTCATCCTCTTCATCTCTGCAGCGGAGTTTGCCACCTACTTGAACTTTTGCCGCTCGCTGCGGTTCGACGACAAACCCGACTACTCGTATCTCCGCCAGCTGTTCAGGAACCTCTTCCACAGACAGGGCTTCTCCTACGACTATGTCTTCGACTGGAACATGCTCAAATTTGTAAGTTATATTTCCACACTGAGGGGATTTATTTCACTCTGACAGGATTTTTGTTTCTTCCTTTGGTTACAGTTTCAGAGGGCCCTTTGCAACAACAGCTGAATAATGCACACTTGAAGTTTGCAGCTGGAACAACAGTATTTTTTTCTGACATTAACACAACTCTAAACCTGTTGTGTGACAAGCAGATCTCAAACTCAGTAGTCCATTTCTTAGACTTTTCTTTCAGTTGCATGAGATGTGATCATCAGATACAGTATTTCTCTTTGTGTATTTACAGTAAATGATAAACACACTGCCTCTGCTCATTTTTGTTTCATATTTATTGAAATGTTCTGTACATATTTGAAGCCAAAAAAAAGAGGTACTTTATGTACAAGGTTAACTGCCCAGTAAAGCCAGGAATATATGTTTCAGCCAAACCAGTCTGACCAACAACAAAGAATCGTTCAAATATTGGAAAATAGAACGGAGACTAAATTTCAAAATCTTTTGTTTCAAACTCTATGGAGGCATGTGACATCTTCACCTCTTTGGTGTGCATTTCAGGGTGCAAACAGAGCTGTGGAGGATGCAGAGAGGGAGCGCCGAGAGCGGGAGGAGCGGCTGAGGCACAGTAGGAACCCCGGGGCCAGGGGCATGCCCTCAGCCTCAGGTAGAGCCAGGGTGGCTCAGGAAGTGGCAGCCCCTTCCCCACTCAACCCAGCAGCACACCCAGGTCAGCACATGCACACACACTTTTTACAGGAAATGGTAAAGTGGTACTTGATGCAAAAGTCATTTTTTCAAGTGTGTCTTGTTTACATTTATTTTCAGCTGATGCCTGTTTGATTAATTCTGACTTTACACGGATGTTCGGTGTGTCACAAGACTTTTTCATATAACTTGCTGAATAAATTTCTAGTTTTCCAGTTTGATTTCCATTTTATTCACAACCACTGATATTTCAATCAGTTTATTGTCTCTTTAAAGCTCTTCATCTGTTTGTACAAATATATTTTTTTCTGATAAAAATTCGGTTAATTTACTTTACTACAGTGTAGGGCTGCATGATAAATCATTTTGTTAGCATGATTTAGATCCCTGTGCAATCATAGTCTCATGTGACAATGATTCTGCTGTGTTTCAATTAGTGTGAAATCCCTTGCGTCAAACCAAGCGTTCCCTTTTCCTCACTAAACTGCATTAATTAATAACCACAAAGTGATTTATTTCTGCCTCAACTGCTATTCGGCACTAGGTGTACAAGGCAGGCAGCGCAATGTTTGAAAAATAGTTATAAGAGGGCACAGAATATCTGTGACTGTGCCAAACATATCAGATTTGTTTTTGGATCAGTCCTCTCTTCCCTCCTCCAGCTTGTCATGTGTTGTAACACATTTCCTGCTATTGGTTAACACAGCTTAGCGAGGAAAAGGGAGCATTTGGTTTGATGCAAGTGATCTCCCTGCTAATGCAAACATGGCAGAATCATTGTCGCGTGAGTCTGAGATTGCACAGGGATCTAAATCACACTCACAAAACGATTTATTGTAGAGCCCTACTATAGTCACATCTCAGTGTTCATTGACAGCTGCCAGTCTTTTTTTAGCCTGACTGATAGTTTAGACATAAAAGCAGAGTTAGTAAAACACTACAGTCTTGGCTTCTCCACTCTCCGACTGTGATAATTAAACAGTTATTCTTTGTTCTTCAGGTGTGGAGAAAGAGAGGAAAGTAAGCATGCGTCTTCATCGTGGAGCACCTGTGAACATCTCATCCTCGGACCTGACAGGACGCCAGGACGCATCCCGCATGTCCGCCTCACAGGTAAATACGCATACACAGCATGGAGTCATTTGAGTTTGCTTTGAACTAAATGTTGTAAAATAATTTGTAGGATAAGCACATATAGCTACTGGACGGATAGAATAATGTGTGCTCAGTGGTCTAACCAGATTGACACATCATCAGAATCATCTTTAATTACTAAGTATGTTTGAACCAAAAGTTTGTCTGCTCTGACAGTCCACACAGCAAAAACCCCAATTGTGCATGTGCCGCAATATTTGGAAACGGCATACATGGACAGAAGGGAGGGAGGGGGAGACCCTCAATTTGATGTATGAATAGGAGCTTGTGCACGCCTCTTGTTTGTGTCTGCATGCACACAAGGGTATGCACAAAGCTTGATTTCCCCTTAAGTCCCTAATACTGTTCCAGTTACTCAGGGTAATCCATAGGCCTAAGGTCACATTCAGACTGAGTTTCAAAGGTGTGGAAAAAAAAAAAAAACGCAGCTCTCCCAATTCATTTCTATGGAGGGTTGTGTTCCCTGTAGCCAGCACCAGCACTGCAGGGGGCTCCAGCAAAATGACGCAGCCCTGTGGTGCAAAAAAAGTTGGATGTGGTTCAACTTTTACCACATGTGACATGACATCATCCAGCAAAGGCATTGCCTTGACCAATCACAGGATGATCGTGATGTGGACGCCTGTGAAGAAGACTTTTGTTTGCCATATTAGCATGTGCATCGACTGAAATTCACTGTCAAATTTGGGCCATAGTTACAAACACACCATAATGACACACCATGTGTTTTTGTTAGTTAGGCTATTGGATGTTAAACTGTGTTTTTTATTTTAAACAGTGTTTAATGCCGACACACTGGTGGTAGAAATAGGTGCTAATGTAGATTAGGCTATGTTAGCAGCATGGCAAAGGGTTTATTTGTCATATGCACAGTTAGGAAACATGTTTCCCTGTTCAATGAAATTCTTACTTTGCTGTCCACATGAATGCTACATAATACAAGTGAAATATAAAGTAGATGAGCAATAACACAAATCTAAATAGGCAGTAAAATCACAAAATGAAGGCACTTTAAAGCAGCAAGTGAAGGAAGCAAATAAAAATACAACAAGAACACAATGTAATGCAGAGAGAATATATACTATGTGGGAGCCATGGGATGCAAATATTCAGCAGTGAGTGTGCCATTATGCATGTGTAAGATGAGTATGCAAACAGTACTGATGGAATTACATGAGGTATATCCTGAGTCAGCTGTTTAGAGTCTGATGGCAGAGGGAAAAGAAAGTGTTTTTGAGTCTAGTGGTCCTGCATTTCACATCTCTGAGCCTCCGACCGGAGGGCAGGGGTATGAACAGTCTGTGCTGGGAGTGGGTGGGGTCCTTGAGAATGGAGGCAGCTTTCCTACGCACCCTGCGGTTGTAAATGCTCTGCAGAGAGGGCAGTGGAGTCCTGGTGATCTTCTCCGCAGTCTTGACCACTCTCTGCAGGCGATTGAGGTCCATAGCAGTAGTGTTTCCATACCAGACAGTGATGCAGCTGGTCAAGATGCTCTCAATGATGCAGCTGTAGAAGTTGCTGAAGATTCTAGGCGACATGCAAACCTCCTCAGCCTCCTCAGGAAGTACAGCCGCCATTGGGCCTTCTTGACCAGCTGTGTGGTG